CTTATATGCGGTCTATATTCGCTCCCTTTCTTTTCTCTCATCTCCATTTTGTTGTTTCTGCTTATTTTCGTGTCTCTTTTTCTTCCCTCCTTAATTTTATCTCCTTCCTCACTCATTCTGTCTGTTATTCTACCTTCATATATCACACTTCTCTCTCTCTCTCTCTCTTCAAATTCAATTCTCTGTTTAGCTCTACGAATTTTTTTTTTTCATTCTACCTTCTGCCTTTCCCTTCCCTCTCTAATTATTATTCGCATTCTCTCTATATATGCATACCTCTTTCTCTCGCCCCCTCTCTCATTTCTCTCTCTTATCCACTTACTCGTTTTTCTCCCTTATTCTTCCTCTCTCTTATTTTTATACTCATTCACGAAAGTGAATCAGTATATTGGTTTTGTGCAATGTCCGTCTTGCTGTCCGTCCGTCTGTCCGTCCGTCCGTCCGTCTGTCCGTCTGTCCGTNGAACACATACTCGTGTATATCTCCGATTTATAAAGTGTTAAAATTTTCCCGATCCGCCCACTAGGGGCGTGGCAAATCGGAAAATGCATTTTCCGATATACCAGAAATCATGTTTGTTGAAGAGCTAGAAAGCTGAAACTTGGTATGTAGGTCCGCGTTGACCACCCAAGATCACGAGCTATGGCGGATATATCTACGCCCATTGGGGGCGTGGCAAATCGGATAAAACTGTATCTCCTAAAGTTGTAAACCTAGAATGCTGAAATTTTGCACGTCAGCTAATGGTATGATTCTATAAAGTCTGAAGATAAATTATAAGTCTACGCCCGTTGGGGGCGTGGCAAATCGGACCTGAAGATATAGTGATTTTTTAAATTCTCCTATATTTTGGACACTATTGATGGCAGAGACCTCAAATTTTGTATATATACTCGGACTGATCACCCAAGACCAAAAAGTTTTGTCGGATATATGTCCGCCCACAGGGGGCGTGGCAAACCGCAAAAGTTTATATCTCCTAAAGTATAATAGCTAGAAGCTTCAAATTTGGATAGTTGAGTTACTGGTAGCCTCCTCTATCGATTCCCCAAAAATAATTTTTACGCCTCTTTAGGGGCGTGGCATATCGAAAAATACCCTGTAATTTTCACATTTTTTTAGGGTAAGCATTCAAACTTTGCAGTTAGGGTAACGTTATCTCTTTCTAAAAACTGACCAAAAATGAGGTGTCTACGCCCAGTTGGGGCGTGGCAAATCGGAAAACCCTGTATATTCTACAGTATTAGAACGAAACTTAACTACTAAATTGTTGATGGGATGTGAATGAGTATTCCGCAGTCGGTAACGCCCGACTGCAACGTTCTTACTTGTTATTCTCTGGCTCACTGTCTCTCTCTCTCTCTCTCTCTCTCCAGTTCCTCCTTTCGCTAAGTCTCCCATAACTCATTTTGTACCCGTCTCTCTCACATCGTTCTGCCCCTTTTGAGCCGTCTCTCATCACTTTCTACTCTGTTTTATTCCGTCTCTCTCCCTCTATAATCTATTTCTTCGCCCATGTTCCACCTCTAGTTTCTCCCTCTCCTATTCTGCTTCCACTCATTGGATAAATCTCTTTGATGCTACTTCAAATAGTTTTTATTTTCTCCTGCTATCATCTTCGCATTGTAACTATTGCCAACGAGCTTATATAGCAACTGTCACGCCCCCGCCTCCGTCTCCCACAGTTAGGTACGCCCCTAAGCGAATTAGCCAGATGCGGGAAAGTAATCATAATATTCCTTCAATAGGACACGTACTTAATATTTAACTACAATTTGCCGCATGTTTTCACTTTTAACTGCCTTCCTCTCCGCAACCATATCGTCTATCTCTCTTTCTCTTGCTCTTCGTATCTCACTCTCTCACTCTATCACTCTCTGTCTGTGTGGCGGTTTGGTAGACCCATGTTACGGTTAACGTAATATTCACTTTGAACATAATAATTTTACCGTCTGTCTGACTGTGCGTGTGCTTGGCTTTCGGTTCGTTTCATTTCATTTCAGTAACAACAACAACAATAACAACAAGCTGCCACATTTTGTGGCAGATAGAACAACCCTTTAAGTTGCCACAGCCATAACGGAATCGTTGAGTCCTTTGGCATTTTCATGTATTGTTTAGCTCTCGAGATCTGCTCGCTACAAATTGAAATCGAAATCCAGATAACTTTCATATCCAAGCGTTGCTGTCAGCTCACCTGCCACGCCTTTCCGCCTCCCACTCACCCACTATGTCTACCCTATCCAGGGTCAAAGTCAAAGCCCCGATGGCGTCTGTCAATTTGGCTTTCAATGTCTTATTTCCCTTTTCTGCCTTTCTTTTCTTTTTTTGGCATGCATGTATTAAATATAGTTAGAGCGAGCAGGACAGAAGGGGAAAAGGAGCGTAGGATGTTAAAAAGTGGTTGCAAATCTCATGAAACTCGGTAACTATAGCAGCTATTTCAAAACTCATTGCTATAAGAACTGAAGAATTATAATATAAGAAGATTATTCTTTTTAAACCAACTAACGACTCACATTTTGGCATAGGATCTATGGCAACTGAAGCTAAGAAAATTTGTACATGGAAAGCCATAAAAAGTATGTGGTACTGACGACTTATAGGAACAAGCTGGCCTCAAGTAACTCAAAACCTACAGAAATTAGGTCAATATAAATTAGAATATGAGAAAAGCTGGCAAACAAATAAGAATATGATAGTAACCTCAAGGAACTCCAGACCTATAACATCTAGATCCATACAAATTGGTATACAAGTTATACTACTCTTAAGATATGAAAATATTATATACCGGTTCATCTCTCAAAAAATCCTACTAACCTCAATTAACTTAGGACCTCTAGCGAATAGGTCAATAGAAATTGGTATATTCTAATCAACGTAGCCTAATGGGTATGCATATTACACTACAACCATTATCGCCTTTCAAAGTCAAAAGCTAACCTCAAGTAACTCAACGATAATAGCAATTAAGGCTACACAATTTGGTATATAGTTTGGAATACACAAAATAAATGAAAACACTGATAAATTTTTCTTTTACACCTATACAAAGTGTCTCAAAGAGTACGACAACTGCAGATATATCTTATCGACTAATGAATTTACTTGGCAGACGTATCAATAAAATTGGAAATACAAACTTAAACTCTCTCTCGTCCGCTTCCTCTGCATATACGTCCGCAGTCTTTGCTGTTTAACTTGTTTATGTCACTTGTCGAATTGCCAAAGCAAAAAAAAAAAAAAGAAGGAAAAAGAGAAAGAGAGAGAAAAAAAACAAAACCAATTTGAACTTTGACTGCCTGTTGCCAGTTGTCAGCTGCCTATCTCAGTCTCCATCAGGAGCGCAGTTGAAGTCGTTGGGCAGCTTGATTGTACGCTTTTGGTGCGGTGAGATTAATCAGACGTCTGACAGTCGCCATCAAAGTTCTTACCTAATAAGCAGGCAGCCGACGCAGGGCTATTTATAGATTCTGTGATTGAAGAGTTTGTCGATTCTCTGAGGCAGCAACTGATACATACGGCCTTTCATCTAATGCAACCGGCCCAAGCTACCCCCCAGCGCCGCTTAACTCGCTGGAGTCACAGAGCGACAGTTACACAAACCTTAAAGACAGCTTTAAGGGCCTCTCGAAAAATCGAAGAGATGTATGCGTTACTTTCGTTTTGCTTTAAACTCCATCACAATACATTTAAAGAGTGTCGAAGCCACAGATGTTGCTCTTTACAAATGACGTTGGGTATTCTACAAACAAATACTCCATTATATGGATTGCTGTAGGAGTAACGTTTGTTATCGATTTATCGAAACTACATGCTCATGGTGGCTAGCTCTTAAAGGTGAATCAATAAGAAAGACGGAGAGACAAACGATATGTTTGATAGAAAAAAAGCAGGAGTAGGTCTTAAAATTCCATCAAGTTAATTTACCCGCTAGCACATGTGTATAGGGTATATGAATCGACAACATACTGAATCAAATATGTGTTCTTATATTGAAGCATATACATATGTGTAAGATTACCTCTCCAATATATAAACATGTGACAGTTGATCAACAGCTGCAACAAAATGTAACATAAATATGTTAACATAAACATTTACTGTTAGTAACACTCGTAAGTCTAAGAGTTACAAACACTTGGGATATATATTTCTGCCTTTCACATATCATATATGGATGCATATGATTCCCTTCCCAAAATAAATATGTTAGCTCAGCTAACAGCATGTTAAATGAATGTTAACATATAAGTATATCAAGTAATCGAAGGACAACGAGCACTCAAGTGTTTGCCAATGGGAGCTGAGCCCATTGGGGCGAACATTGAATTGAGTTCAATCAACTGGGATAAGGAAAAAAAAAGAAAAGAAACAAGAAGAAGCAAAGTAAACGAATTTGAAGTTAAGTCTCAGTTAATAAATTTTCTAAAAGTGGCCACAAAGATGCCGACTCGAGATCCCTTCAAGCAGCTAACTAAATCTGTAAACTCATGTCATAATTGAATTTTCATTTTGGGCCCAGCTCGAGGCCGCGGCCGACGCTGACGTCGACGTCGATGCCGATGCCGATGCCGAGGTTTAATAATTAAGAAATAAAAAATGCAAAATAATGGAAAGAAAACTAATTTTGGCACTCGAGTCGCGACTGGCAACAGAGCGAGCCCTGCCTCCAGCTCCAGCTCCAGCTCCAGCTCCAGCTACCGTGCTCAGTTCCAGTTCCAGCTCCATTCGACAGTTTTAGCTCATGGCTTAGAGCTTAAGCTACGCAATTTCGGGCTGACTTGCGTGGCTGTATGTGTATGTGTGTATTTGTTTGTGTGTATGTGGGGTGTGTGTGTGTGGGGGGATGTAGCTAAGCAGGGTTGGCTTTGCCTGGCTTGGGGCTGAATAACAACTGCCATTTATTGGAAACTCATTAAAAAGTCATAAAAAAATCACACACACACACACATATTGCTTGAACAAATCAGAGAGTGAAGAGGAAGGGGAGAGAGGCGAAACAAAGTAACCCGATTGTCAGTTGTTGAATACAGTTCGGTCACAAAACACACAGAATATTTTTCCAGATACAATGAGTATAAAATTAAGAAAGACATCGGCCATGGACACAGAAGAAGACGACTCTGACGAGGAGGAAGCTGAGGGCCCCGATGAAAACGAAGATCATAATATGATACGCTTTGGCGTCATAGCCGATGAAGTAAGTTAAGACGGTGCGTAGAGCTATTTGATATACGGGATCTCTATATATGTATAATGCTAGGATTTGATGTGTGATGCATGACAACGATAGGGAATACTGAGGCAATGGAATTATTTTTATGTTTTCCCTATATATTCGATACTATATAGTATGGTATATTACATATTTCAAATCTCGAGATCTTGATATTGATTTTGATATGCTATTCCATAGATCGTAGCTCCATAGTTGAATGCAGATAAATAGAAATTCAAAAGGCTTATCTGTAATACCATCACTAGATAATTAGCTAATTTCATCTATGCCAACGATCCTTAGCCATATCATAATAGTAAATGTAAGTAATCTCTTACAGGAAATTACCATTGGCCTATTGCTCACTGGCGTCGGTTATTGTCGTGATAACTTTCGCAACTACCTTATAGTTGATCGTGGTTCGTAATATCTGCCCCCACTCTAACTATCAATCTATGCATCTAAATTTGTATTCCATTCAATCAGACACAAAGCTCGATGAAGTGGAGAATTTCTTCTACGCCCTGTATAGACGACCTTGCATTGGACTCATACTGATCGACTATCTGACCGCGAAGCGTTTGCATCACGTCTTGGACAAGTGCAAGAAAGTGCTGCCCGTAATCGTAATTCTGCCCACCAAGGGATGCATAATCTCCTATATGGAGGAGAAGGAGCGACAGCGGCGCCAACGGCAGCGAGATCTTTCGTATTTGTAATAATTGAATTGGCCAATAATAAACTCTAGTATCTGGAAAATATCTAGACATCGAATCAATTGGAATGTGAAAGGCGTAGGTAGCACGCAATCTGTTTCTTTTTGGAACTAGTTCCGAATCCATCTAGTTGTTGGATATCTGGTAAAAATCGCTTCAGGTGATGCGTTTGATTAAGCTCAACTACAATAAATAGCTATTGAAAGTATGTTCTTTTGAGCCAGTTCCGTAGTGAACAACTGAGCATGTTCACAGAAATCATTTCTGATGATGAAGCCAGTTGAGCTCTAGTGCAATAAAAAGTGGCTCAAGGTTGTTGGAACTAGTTCCGAAATGAACAGTGATTAATCTTTGTGTATCGTAGAGATTACATCTGAAGATGCAATTAGATAAACTCCATTGCAACAATTTGTTTTTCGGAACTAGTTCCAATGTGCACAATGATTCCTCTTGATGTGTCTCATTCAGCTCACTTCAGATGATATCCACTTGCATTACAATTAACGCACTTAAGTAAATTACAGGCACTTATACTCCATCTTATACACACTCTTATACACACGCTATACGGCTAGCAATTCGAGCTCGAGTTTTTGCAATTGATTTTCGCACAGCTGGCCAGATGGGCCGAACGGGCCAGACCGGTCAGGCCGGACAACTAATTGAATCATAGCGATTAGACGCCTGAATGAGCTCTCCTTTGGGCTCCTTGGGCAACTCGGCTCACCTTTGTGGCTCACCTGTGTGCAGGTGCCATTGGCATTGGCAGTGGCATTGGTCGTGTGCGTAATTTATGCGCATTTCGAATGATGATGGCCAACGATTGTTGCTCACGAGCATGTCTGCAGCTAAGTTGTGCCGCAATAAGACTAAATAAATCACGGCCCCAGTCAGTTGTGGCGTGGGGCGGGGGGCGGTGGGCGGTGGTCGTGGCTGCTGTGGCAGTTGCAGGTGCAAACGGAGCACGCACGTAAAACTTGGCAAATTTGTTGGCAATTGCGAGCGAGGCGTGAAACAGGATAAGATCTTCCGTGCGTGTGTGTGGTGGCTGCGAGTGTGTGTGTAAGTGTATGTGTGCGTGCGTATGTGTGTGTGTGTATTATACGTATGATTGGCAAATGTCTGCAATTAATTTTGTTAGTCGCGTAAAAGTGAATTAGCGTTAAGTCTCTAGAGAGACACAAACACACACTCACACACACACACGTACGTACGCACGCATGCACGCACACATAGGCACAGACAGCGTGAGAGCTTAGTGACTGGTTGCCCTAATGCCTATTGACACGCCCACGCCACGGCCCGCCCCCTTTTGGCAGTCATCGGATTGTTGTTTGTGCCGTTGTCTTGAGCCTCAGCTTTGATTTCGTCTTCATCAAAACATTGAAGAAGAAGCAGCTGAGGCAGAGTCGGAGCTGGAGCTGGAGCTGGAGCTGGTTCAACAGGTCGCATGCGTAAATTTAATTACACTTATGGCCAAGCTGTTGAGTTCATTGAGCCAGCGGCGCCAAGTACGGGGAACTGGGTTCACTTCCAATTTCATTAAAAACTTCAACGAACTGAACACAATTCGCGTTCGCTTTGATATTTGAGGCAGTTCCAGGAACAGCGCGCAACATAATATGCGAACCAGTTGCACAGAACACGTGCATTGTGCTTAACACACATATTTCATTTTGACTGACGATGCAAATGCGAGAAGTGAAGTCTTGAATTGGAACTAGTTCATGTTGTCTCATATGAATTAAAAATTTTTAATTAAATGCCAAATCATTATCTCAGTTCAAGAATTAACTAGTGAACTGCTTAATGAACCAGTCCGAAATCAAAGTTCAGCATAATTTCCAACTAGTGAACTACTTAATGAACTAGTTCGTGAACTTATATCATTACATTTGGAAGTTGATAAACTTCATGAAGTCATCAATTTTGTATTTTTCATTGTCACACAACGAACTGGAGTACCCATGGTTCACTCTATGAACCTGTTCATGAACCACTCCATGAACCAGTTTACGAATTCGCACTAGCAATTCAAGCAATCAAATAATATATATCAAATTAATGTACAATCTCATTTTTATTCACTTTGCATATAAGTTCTTTTGAGCCAGTTGTGATAAATGAGTGAATTAAACTAAAATTGAACTATTCACAGCTGCTAGCTTTATATTTAGTAGTTAATACTATGCAGAGACTTAAGGCGCTTTAAGTAATTTACTCAACTCTCCAGAACGGAACTAGTTCTAAAGATTGAATATTTCTATAGAGTGTACATTGTACCCTTACGCTCCAACTCAATTATGAATTCCATTCATCCAACTTAATTGTCGCTTCGTTTCCTTTATCATGTAATTACGTTCCGGCGAACTGGTTCCGCACACATCAGAATCGCATAAGCAAATGGAATTTGTTTTCAAATAATGCAGCACAATAGCAGATACTTAACATGCTTCAATTTGACATTACAAGCTTTTACTTTTCAGACATTGTTGCTACCTCGCTCTGCCTCTCTCTCTCTCTCTCCTTCTCTCTACCTCTATCTCCATCTGTGAAATACAGAGTTAGATAACAAAGGCCGCATCGCATGATAGAAAATGAGAACAAAGAATCACAGAACGAGAAATGTAGAAGAGAATAAGAATAATAAAAGAGACATATATAAATATATACAAGGAAAAAGAAGCAAAGATGTGAGAATAAGAATAATAAAAGAGACATATATAAATATATACAAGGAAGAAGAAGCAGAGATGTGAATATATAATTTGATTTTTGAGGCACTGTAGTAAGCTTTTATTTGGGAGCAAACAGAACCTTTTAAAGCGCAACTTCAAGCAATGGAATATGTCCTGAATACCCTGTGAAATATGCAAGAAAAGGGCGTATAGTCTGTGAGAACTCCACGTAGCTCTTGCTCTCTTATCTCCCATCTCTTACATCAAGTGAATTGCTTAAGATCTGATCTAAACAATTAAGTTTAGTTATCTGTCATGCAGGGTATTGGCCAGTCGAGCATGCTCTATACCATCTTGGCAGCTTATTGTTGTTGCTATGTGGGATTTGGCCGCATTGTTGCCGCAGCTCAATTTCCATGGACAACATGCCAACTACGTCACGGCCTTTGGCTGCACAATTGTAATACACACACACACACACACACTCTCTCACACACACGCGCGCACACAATGGGTATGAATGGAGCTTAAGTGGCTGGAATTGTTTTTACATTAAAATATCATTAATTTTGATGCGTTGCCTCCAACCCATACACACCCATCCGCACATACACGCGCACACACACACACATGAGGCTGTCAGTGTATTTGTATGGAGGACCTTAGCTTCGTATGCATAGAAATTATTTATGCAAACAACTTTAAGCAACAACAACAACACCAACAACAACAATGATATAAACAACAATCAAGCGTAGGCGTTAAGTAGCACACATGACACGCCCACCCACCCACACACACGCAAACACACACACATAGCTTAAAACTCATGAACGGTAATTCAACACTCGAACAATTCGCGGGCTTCAAAATTTTCAATTGTGTGAAACATTTCAATGTTTTCCCCCACAGCAACTCAAAGCGCAATTCGAACACCGACTCAGCCCGCCCCCTCTCTCCCTAGCCCAGCGACCAGCACCCACAATGCGCATCACACCCCCCCGCCCCAAAAAGTATGCAACAGTAAAATATTTTTGCAATTGAAGACGAAATATTTTTGGAAAGTGAAATGAAATTTTATAGCTGCGCCCAGAGCTAAGGGCGCAAGCAATTGAAGAATGTTTTATCAGACCTCATAGATGGAAACAGACATGATATACATATATGTATAAATATAATGTAGGACATATATGTATACATATATAGATGAACTTTTCACACTTTTCATTGCATCTGTTGCCTTTGTATTAATTTTGTAATAATTATTATTCCATTTCACATTTTGCAACACTTGTTTTTTTTTTATTATTGTTCATTATATTGCTATTCATATGTATGCTATATACATATAATATCTGTTGTACATACATACAGTATATAGTTTTTTTATGTATAATCTACAGCATATTTATATATTATTTGAAACTACTTTTTACGACATTTTGCAACACTACGATAACAGAAATAAATATATACACATATGTACAAATATTGTGTAAAATTATTATATTGAAAAATTATTAAAAAA